TTCCCACCCCCATGTGACACCATTTGTTCACTAAGTGGTCCCTCTTCAAGCACCAGCTCTGTCACTTGACATTTTGCTTTAGTAATCTAGCTGAACAGAGTAATAGGGGAAAAAAGAAAGGTATGTTCTGCTTGTGGGACTGCCATTAAAATACATTTTTCACTTTGTCCTGCTATACCAAAAGCATGAAATGGTAAAAAAAATCTCTGCACTACTTAAAAAAAATGTAACATTCCAAAAGAGTGATCTGGTAACACTGAAAGAGCTATGTCAGCCCACCAAATAGGAAGAAAGTAGAAGTCATACCATAACATCATTACGCATGGGTGTTTTATACATTGTGTTATATCGAGCTTTAATTGATTTCATGTCAACCTCGGCACGTGATACTATCACCCTGTTCAGGATTTTTTCACGAGTCCCCAAGCCCTGTGAACAAATTAAATTAATTAAATACTAATGCTTATGCTTTTTTGTAGGGGTATCACATTCTACATATATTTGTACATTATTTCCACAACAACGCAATAGGCTTGATGTAAAAAGGAACTAGAGAATATTTTGTTTTTTACACATTGCAGTGTGAGTTCATTTGCCTAGTGAATGTTAATAAATGTAAAGGTTTGTCCTCCCCAGGCTCTAGCTGTGACTGTTATTCAAAAACTGGTTTTGCTGGTGCCACCCTTGGTGGAAGGAAAGAAAATTGCTTGATTTCCCTATCAGCACTAGTCAGTGCTCCCTCAGCACTATTGTGTTCTGCCGGGGGAAGCCTTCCCAGCCCGCAGAACACAATGACCACTGCTAGGAGCTAAAGTCACCAGCAGTGATTGCATGCAAAAAATATGACAGGCTGGTTGTACTGAAGTTGATTGATGGATCAACTTCAGTACAACCAAACCCCTGGCTGAACTGGCTGAGATTCAATCCATCTATGGCCAGCTTTACACACACTTTTTATATTTGCTTCCTCCATTCTGGTTCCTTCTGCTTAAAGTATATGTGAACCCTTACCACTAATACAGTTTAAAATAGAAATAAAAGGTACATATAAAAAACATTATAAATACGTTTTTTTCCCCTCTTATATAAGTGATTACATACCCTTTGCTCTCAGCTGCATAGAACGGTGATGGTAATGAAACAGCAACATCATGATCTTCCCAGTAAATGGCTTTGCACAGGGGGCATGTTAGCACATTGAGATCCTAGCATCGCTAGAGAACTGACCACCCTGTTCTCTCCTGCCTAGCGTGGTCAGTTTTTAATAGGAACGCAGAATACTTTTTCATACAATTACAGGGTACAGTAGACACATATAAGGAACAATTTCTTTATTGTGTGCTAAAAACCCCTCAATAAATTCCCCACACTTTAGGTCCTGTGTGCTTAGCCTCCATGTGCTTCCTCCTAGCTCATCACAAACTGAGCCCAAATTAGCAGTGCCAAAGTGTTTGGTTGTTTTCTGGTAATATTGTTTCACTTAAAATTAGTTTATAGAGAAAGCAAAACATTTTCTTGTATTCGAACAGGTTTACACTCCAAAGAGGGAGATATAGAGGCTGATTTAATAAAATAATCTTCACCTAAAAAGCTTTTTTTAAATAATCCAACCATGTGGAAAGTAAAGTCCTGATCACAGTAAATACGCAACTCTGCACACATGATTGGCAATTGAAGTGAATGTTCACACAATCTGTGTGAACAATGAGTGAAAATCTTAAAGAACTATCCCAGGCATGGTTATTTTATTCATAGTTACATTGGTCAAGCTCAAACCAATGTAGCTATGTACAGTATATACCATACCTTGCCAATGAAGCTGAAAATCATTGAAGTAGACATAAGGCTACCTTTGATCTACCATCACATTTAAAAATGGAATAGGAAGCAGTCTTTTTATGTTTTTTCTTTTTTTTTTTTTTACCAGACCTGGGTGGACTCAGAGATAGGCGAATGTAAACAGACGCAAGTCCAATTACACTAGCCTGTCCTTAGGTGTCAAGGTCTGGGTCTGAACCCAGGACTTCTGCAGTAACTCTTCTTGCTGATCCACCATTAGACAATCTTGCCTTGTACCTTGTTTTTCATGAACCATGAACCCATTGCTCCTCTCATGAACTTCCTATTTAAACCATGCCTTTGTACTTCTGCTTGCCAGATTATTGTGCTTTCTCCAGCCAATATCTTTCTCTTGTCACTCCTGCTGCCATCCGTAGCTTTGCTACCACCCATTATCAGACTTTGGCTTGTTCCTACTGCTTGATCCCAACCTGCCACCACTTGTTACTGACCTTTTACTTGTTTACTGACTATGCTTCTGCTTGATCCCTACCTGCTAGATCTGCTACTAGACCCCAGCTTGCTCACCTCTTGGTTGGGCAATCCTCAGAAACACAACCTGATATTAAGATGCAGCAAAGCCTATCTCTACCATCAGAAGCTCTTTTGAATACTGGTTAGTGCTTATGCCCAGCACCTCAGGCGAGCCTGCATTATTTTGCCAGTGTGACCTGTTTGTATACCTATCTTGCTGGTCGGTGGTATCCTCTCTAGTGCCATAGCTACTGGCCTTCAAGCCTGACTCCAGATCATGACAATAGGGCTACATGGAGATTTCAATCATGTCTGCCTGAAAAATGGACAGGCAAACTTGGTTAGAATGCCTGTGTGAAAGGTGCCTAAGCAGAAGTGTAGTTGCTCAGTATATGACCTGGAAGCAAGTGGAGATCACTGAAGTACCAATGTCTACCTCAGTGATTTCCAGATTCCATTGGCCAGGTATGGTATAAAGATAGTTACATTTGTCCAAGCTGGCTGTAACTATGTATAAAATACCCATACCTGGAAATATTTTTTAATCAAATAATCTTGCCCCCATACAAAGCATTAGTTAGACTTTGTCTTGAGTATGCAGTTCAGTTTTGGGCACCAGTTCACAAAGATGATGTTGCAGAACTGAAAAAAATACAGTGAAAGGCAAGAAGGGGCATAAAGGACCTCAGCTATAAGGAAAGAATAACAGAGCTACTGAATTGAATAGTGAATGAATTGTCTCTTGTGAAGAGGTGTTCCATGGGGGTATCATCTCCTAGTGCATATATTGTACTTAAATTGTCCATATAATAAGTTTGGAGGTACTCTTTGCACCTGAAGGAAAAAAGGTGTAAACTTTACAAATGAAAAAGATTCTTTACAATATGAGCTTTTGGCAACATAGTTTAATAACAAAAAGGAGGAAACTGTCCTTAAACAACAAAATGAATATGAGGAATGTGCCAAAAGTAATGCAAAAGTGGGCATAACTTTTGTATTAACTTATATAAATCGTTTAAATTTCACAAGTTGATAGAGTAACCATTCCTCTATAGTAACTCTTCTTCGTCATTTTTATTGCAAATAAAAAATGGATTACAAGCAAAGTGCCATCGTTGAATTATTGATTAAAGAAGGGTGTAGGCTGCCTGACATCCACAGAATGTTTACAGGGATGACACCATTGTCAAGTGCAATGTCTTGTCATTGGTGACTCTTGACAATGGTGTCATCTCTGTAAACATTCTGCAGCCTCCTGTGGATGTTGGACAGTCTGAACCCCACCTTCATCAAGAACTCAATGACAGCAAGTTGCTACTGCTTGGAATCCATTATTTACCTGCAATGAAATAGAAGAAGAGTTGCTCTAGTGGAAGAGTTACTCTACCAACATGTTAAATTTGAACAACCTATGTGAACCTATAAAATAAGTTATGCCCATTTTGCATTACTTTTGATACAGCCCTTAAAATAAATTTAACAGTAAATTAAAAAAATCAAACAAATAAACAAACGTATTCTTTTTTGTTAGCTTAAGTGCTCCTAATTAGCCATAGTTTGTTCTTTATAGACCAATTAAATAAACTGTGTTTTGAGCTCCAGGTGTACAGTTGTGCTCAAAAGTTTGCACACCCTGACAGAAATCGTGAATTTTTGGCATTGATATTAAAAATATGGCTGGCCATGCCAAAAAACTGTCTTTTATTTATGGATAGTGTTCATATGAAGCCATTTCTTATCACATAGTTGTTTGACTTCTTTTTAAATTATAATGACAACCCTGGAATGTTTGGCCTTGGTACAGACAAGGAAGGTGACACACACAAAAAAAAATGGCAATTAAAGGTTAATTTCCCACATCTTTAGTTTTTTTTAAAATTGCAACTAGCTTCTGTGTATAAATAGTCAATGAGCTTTTAGCTCTCACGTGGATGCACTGTGCAGGCTAGATAATGAACCATGGGGATCAGAACAAAACTGTCAAAAGAACTGCGTAACAAGGTAATGGAACTTTATAAAGATGGAGAAAGATATAAAAAGATATCCAAAGTCTTGAACATGCCACTCAGTACTGTTAAATCACTTATTAAGAAGTGGAAAATTTGGGGATCTTTTGATATCAAGCCAAGTACAGGTACAGCAAGAAAGATTGCAGCAACTCCAAGTAGAATTGTTCGGGATACAAAGAAAAACCCACAGGTAACCTCAGGAGACATATAGGCTGCTCTGGAAAAAGATAATGTGATTGTTTTAAAGGAGCACAATACAATGATATTTGAACAAAAAATAGTTGCATGGTTGAGTTGCCAGAAAGAAGCTTTTACTGCTCCAATATAAAAAGCAAAACATGAATCCACGCAATGGTATATGACAGGGGTCCTCAAACTTTTTAAACAGGGGACCAGTTCACTGTCCCTCAGACCGTTGGAGGGCCGGACTATAGTTTAAAAAAATAAAAACTATGAACAAATGTGGACACAGTACAGGAGATGACCAGAGACTGCGGACACAGTACAGGAGATGACCAGAGACTGCGGACATAGTACAGGAGATGACCAGAGACTGCGGACACAGTACAGGAGATGACCAGAGACTGTGGATATACAATAGCGGCGGGAATACTGGGCCGGCCGCTCCATAAGATGCACAGACATTTCCCCCCAAGTGTGTCTTATGGAGCAAAATAGTGCCCCATCATTGGTGTCAGTGGGAGGAATAGTGCCCCATCATTGGTGCCAGTGGGAAGAATCGGGCCCATCATTAGTGTCAGTGGAGGGAGGAATAGTGCCCCATTATTGGTGTCAGTGGGAAGAAACGTGCCCCATCATTGGTGTCAGTGGGAAGAAACGTGCCCCATCATTGGTGTCAGTGGGAGGAATAGTGCCCCATCATTGGTGTCAGTGGGAAGAATCGTGCCCCATCATTGGTGTCAGTGGGAGGAATAGTGCCCCATAATTAGTGTCAGTGGGGGGAGGAATAGTGCCCCATTGTTGGCGTCAGTGGGGGGAGGAATAGTGCCCCATCGTTGGAGTCAGTGTGGGGGGGGATAGTGCCCTGTCATTGGTGTCAGTGGGGGAAGGGGATAGTATTCCAACATTGGTGCCAGTGGGAGGAATAGTGTCCCATCATTGGTGTCAGTGGGAGGAATAGTGTCCCATCATTGGTGTCAGTGGGAAGAATAGTGCCCTATATTTGATGTCAGTGGGAGGAATAGTATGTCATTGGTGGCAGTGGGGGGGGGATAGTGTCCCAACCTTGGTGTCAGTGGTAGGAATAGTACCCCATCATTGGTGTCAGTGGGGGAAGGAATAGTGTTCCATCGTTGTTGTCAGTGGGGGGTGGAATAGTGCCCCATCGTTGGTGTCAGTGGGGGGGAGGAATAGTGCCCCATCATTGGTGTCAGTGGGGGGAGGAATAGTGCCCCATCATTGGTGTCAGTGGGAGGAATAATAAACAAGAGATCCCTGTGCTCAAATCCCAACAGCTAGTACATGCATTTATCCATCAGGTGCTAAAGGGGTGTAACAACATATTAACACTAGAAATTCTGCAGGACCCTCTGCACACTGGTATATACCCTTTCAAGCAGACTATGCAATAAATAGGGATATTTAGCTCACATATATTTCAATACATGCTTAAGCTGGCCAACTGCGTCAAAGTAATCCCTTTATGGCCAGTCCTACCCTGCTCTGCCTACGCAAATGCTACTGTGGACACAATGCCAATATAGGGGAAAAGACACAATGGGGAGAGCTACAAGGTTCAGGTCTGGCTACTTAAGCTTAAGCATGTATTGCAATATGTGTGAACAAAATATACCTGTTTATTGCATAGTCTGCTTGAAAGAGTATATACCAGTGTGCAGAGGGTCCTTCAGAATTTCTAGTGGGAGGAATAATGCCCCATCATTAGTATCAGTGACACGAATGATGGGCACTATTCCTCCCACTGACACCAATGACACGTAACTTGCTGACCCCTGCTCCAGCAGCAGCAGCACCATCTGCACGGCACACTTACCTGTCAGCTGTCCTTCTTCACTCCAGCCTCTCCCTCACTCGATGTTCACGGGTCTGCTCGGCTCCGCCTCCTCGCAGGTGATTGGCCGCTTGTGTGCCTTTCCTGAGCTACAGTTCTGGCGCCCAACCAATGGTGAGGAGGCGGAGCCGAGTGGCAGCGCGAACATCGAGTGAGGGAGAGGCCGGAGTGAATGAAGGAGCAGCGCTTCCTGTCGTGGGACTGGAACACCGAGCCAGGTAAGGTACAGCAGGCCCCTGCCTGCCCCAGTACTTAGTATCCCTTCCTCGCGGCAAATACGTCCCTGCCGGCGGGCCGAAAAAATGGCCTCGGTGGGCCGTATGTGGCCCGCGGGCCGTAGCTTGAGGATCCCTGGTATATGAGCTTGATAGGTTGCTGCTGACACCTACCACAATCCTTGAAAAAAAGTTTGTGTGAAAACCAGAATAGCACAAAAATGGTGTAGTGCTATCACTACCTAGACTTTGTGAAAAACTGAATGTGACAGTTTTAAGCAAAATAAAAATAGCTTTAATGTTACCTTCATTGCAAGATGTACTTTTTCTGCAAAGAAACCTGGTTTGTCCACAGCAAATTTCACTAAATAGAAAAATGTGCATTGAAATATTAATCTCAGTAAACACATATGAATATTCTTATAATTTATGTTGACATTATTTTCAGCTAGTAGGAGAATTGAATTAGGAAGTTCAAAATGAATCATATACAGTTACACGTGGGAATACACACAAGGAAGAAATAAAAACAAAGCTTTTCAGCCATTTGTGACAATATATTGAGAATTATTTTTGACATAAACTTCTGCCCAAATAAGAGTGCCTAATCAAATATTCCCTACAAAAATATTGCTCAGTGAAACATATGTTAATCCACCCAAGTAAGATTCGACAGGATAGAATACCTGTCAATAGTCAATTCAAAAACAATGACTTTCTAGTGGTCATCATATCAACAGAGGTTTATTAGACACATTTTATCTAAAATAAATAAATAAAGGTTTTAGCAATGCACTGGGGTTGATTTACTGAAACTGGAAAGTGAAAATTCTGGTGCAGCTCTGCATAGAAACCAATCAGCTTCCAGTTTATTTGTCAAAGCTTAATTGAACAAGCTGAAGTTAGAAGCTGATTGGCTACCCTGCACAGCTGCACCAGATTTTGCACTCTCCAGTTTAGTAAATCAATCCCATTTTGCCTCTCAGCCACCTAGTATGTGCACATTAAAGGGTGTTTTTCAAAATCCAACTTTGTGGTATAGCAGTATAGTAATTTTACTTATTATAAGGAACAACATCACATATGTAGCTCACATAAGTGCTGACTGTACTTTCTCAATGTGCATCACTGTCAGCTTCTTCTAGAGAATAACTAAGAGATCCCATACAAGGGGTGTACCTCCCAACTATGGTGTGGGTGCAGCTTGTTCCCATTGGACCACCTTGAAACTTTATCATTTTAATGTCTTACATAATTTTTATGAATACATAGAGCAAGTTTGATGAAATGTATTTTCTATCAAGATTTGCTCTGTATATTATGCAGCACTCACTGGGTCAATGTTGTTAGATCAAATATTGCCAGGGTGAATCTTGATAGTAGAGCAGCATTTTTTCACCATTTTGGGTGAATCTTTGTGGGGTCTTTTAGGTGAATCAGTTAGCACCATGTACAGTGAATACAAACAACATGTAATTTTTCTTTTTTCTAATAAAAAAAAGATGTGCTCCCCCAACTACCAGAATTAACCACCTGTTTTCACTTTGTCATTATGGGGTACTGATTGTAGATTATTGAAAAAATAAATGAATTTAACAACTGTAGTATCAGGCTGCAACATAAAAAAATTGAAAAAATGGTTCTGAATACTGTACACAACTCTGGCTGCTCCTTTGCAGCTTTTTGGACTCCTGGGTAGGAGGAAGCAGGGATACTATTAGATCCTGGATTCTAAGGACTGTGCACTCCTGCACATACACTCTGCTAGTCCCTGGCAAGACCTAGACACAAGATTAGAGGCTTCTTCCCTCCCATAGCACTTTGACCTCTGAAATCCAGACCCTGATCCAGGGGACTCCACGATTTGAGCCTCTTTTGGAGAAAACAAACTTTTGTCTTCTCGGAATATAATATTAGGCCCTGGAGCACAGCCTGGGGGCTTTGTAGAGCTTTGGGTGGGAACAAGGCTGTAGTTCTAGGTCCAGGTTTTACCCGTTTTAGACAGACCTCATTAATAGTCTCAGCTGGGTGAAAAGGCTGACATAAGGCTTACATGCAATGCCTCTTTGTTTTGGGTCAGCCGGGGGGGGGGGGGGGGGGGGGCACCCTGTTATTCAGAAATTGATAAAAGTTTAGTTGGTGGCTTGGATGAGCAAATGTTTTGTTTTGTTTAATGAACCTGCTGTGCAAAATGCCCGTGCTCTGAACTGTGATTGTCTACTGCCTTGCTGAGTAAAATACAGTATCTCACAGAAGTGAGTACACCCCTCACATTTTTGTAAATATTTTATTCTATCTTTTCATGTGACAACACTGAAGAAATGTCACTTTGCTACAATGTATAGTAGTGAGTGTACAGCTTGTATAACAGCGTAAATCTGCTGTCGCCTCAAAATAATTCAACACCATGAGGTGCCATGCTGAACTTCCAGTGACCAGTATGAGAGAGTGAGAGCGATAACACCAAATGTAACACACCTGCTCCCATTCATACCTAAGACCTTGTAACACTAACGAGTCACATGACACCGGGGAGGGAAAATGGCTAATTGGGCCCAATTTGGACATTTTCACTTAGGGGTATACTAATTTTTGTTGCCAGCGGTTCAGACATTAATGGCTGTGTGTTGAATTATTTTGAGGGGACAGCAAATATACACTGTTATGCAAGCTGTATACACACTACTTTACATTGTAGCAAAGTGTCATTTCTTCAGTGTTGTCACATGAAAAGAAATTATGAAAAAATATTTACAAAAATGTGAGGGGCGTACTCACTTCCGGGAGATACTGTAACAGGACAAACCTGCCTAGACTGTATACACACACATATACTGTGTATGTATATATATATATATATTGAATATACTGTATAAATTACCATTTTTGCATTTCCGCATCTATGTGTCTAACACCAGTGTGCATAATGATGTGTTTAATGATAAGGTATGGCTGATTCGGCGAATTAGAGGAATAAATTCGATTCGATGCGAATATATTCGCTGCGATTTTAACTTATAAAAGGGTGTTTCTAGGCTTCAGAGAGCCTTTATATTAGTGCAGAACACTGTACCTTTAATTTAAATGCCCTTGGAGTCTGCTGGGGAAGAGAAATAATACTGTCAGTCAGTATGACATGCAGATGAGTGCCGTCGATCTTAGAATCACCGCACACTTCACTCATTTGGGCAGTCACGGGGCCAAAACCAGAGTGTGGAGCCACAGTGCGGCGGTGGAGGCAGCAGCAATGGGAGGCCATACAGCACCCTATGACAAAAAATGGAACCCACCAGCAGTGTGAGGAGACCTGAAAGTGGCACATGGCAGAGTGTGGCGATGGAGACAGCAGCAATGGGAGGCCGTACAGGGACCCATGACACACTCTGGACCTGGCAGCAGCATTAGGAGGCGGTACAGGGGCCCATGGCAGATTACGGGCCTGGCAGCAGCAATGGGAGGCCCGTAATCTGCCAGCACCCTATGACAAAATGGAACACACCAGCAGTGTGAGGAGACCTGAAAGTGGCACATGGCAGAGTGTGGCGATGGAGACAGCAGCAATGGAGGCCGTACAGGGACCCATGAGAGACTCTGGACCTGGCAGCAGCATGAGGAGGCGGTACAGGGGCCCATGGCAGATTACGGGCCTGGCAGCAGCAATGGGAGGCCCGTTTTATCTGCCAGCACCCTATGACAAAATGGAACCCACCAGCAGTGTGAGGAG